CCCGCCCCCGCGAGCTCCCCGCGGCGCGAGGCCGGCCCCGCCCCCACCTGCTCGGCGCTCGGGCGGCACCGCGACGGGAGGCTCCGGCCCCGGCCCGGCCGCCTCAGCCGCCCATATCGATCGGGAACGTGGGTCCCCGCTGACACCCCGGGCCAGCCAATCAGCGCGCTCCCTGCCTCTCCCCGCTAAGCCAATCAGCGGCCGGCGACGGCTCCGCCCGCCAATGGGAGCGCGGCCCTACGAAGAGGCGAGGCGCTGTGACGCACTGCCAGCCAATGGGAAGGCGGGCCTGCGGAGGGGGCGGGCCGAAACTCCCCCAGCGGCCAATGAGAGCGCGGGAGTGGAGCAAAGCGGCGAGGAGTCCGGCAGGAAGGCGGGGCTCCGCTAGGGGGCGCAAACGGACAGCGCCCATAGCCAATGGGAGCGCAGGAAATGGGACAGACAGCACCAGCACCCACTTGGGGAGCTGGAAAATAGAAAGGGGCGGGGCCTCGCTTTGTCCCAGACTCAAAGGTGGGACGGTGGTCTGAGCCCAATAGAACCCAGGCGTCCGGGCTCTCTCCCCCCTCCCCTCCCAAAGCTGGTGACAGGACGCAGGTGTCCACCCCCTTCCCCAGCAAGTGTCCTGCCCCCCCCCCAATCCCCCCTTCCCCTCAGTGCTGGGGACGGAACCCAGGTACCCACACACCCCGAGCTGGGGATAGAAGGAACCCTGGCGTCCGGGCTCACCCCCACACTAGCCCCCTACACGCCCCTCCCAGAGCTGGGGACGGAAGCCAGGCGTCCGGGCTCCCCCTCACACCCATGCCAGGGGCTGGGGGTTCTAGAGCAGCAGGTTCTAGAGTCCAGGCCCCGGGTTCCGGTTCTGTGTGGTTCCGGTTCCCGTGGTGCCAGATCAGGTCAGGGCTGGACAGCCCCCCTCCCCCTCTCCACGCAGGGGAGCGGCTCGGCATGGGAGAGCCCCCCAGGGGGGGCACAGTCAGCAGGTGGGTGCTGGGGCAGCCCCCTGGGTGCATGGGACTGGGTGGGCGGAAGGGCAGCCCTGTCCAGGGGTCACCCACTCCAGCCCCACAGCGGGAGGGTTTGGAGCATCCCCTCCCCCCACAGCTTTCCCCACCCCCTCTCTCTTCGTGCCCCCAGCCCCCCTTCCTCCCCAGTCTCACCCCCCCATTCCCAGCTTCCCTCTCCCCCAGCCTCCCACTCACCACAGGAGACAGGAGCGGGTCCAGGTCAGCCTTTATTTACCGCCATGGGGGCCCAGCCCCACACCTACACCCAGAGCTGAGGGCACGACTGGCTCAGCCCCTCCCCCTGCCTTTTGTGAGTTCAGGCAGCTCCCGGGCCCCCCCCATGCTCCGCAGCATCAGGGCGATCGTCATCTGCCCCCGCCGCCGGCTCCACCCCCGTTGCCTCCGCCCTGGCCCCCGGCGTCGGGCGCGCCGGACATCATGAGGAACAACACCACGGGAATTATGTACATCCACTGTGGAGAGAGCGGAGGGGGGGTTAGAGGGGGCCAGGGGACCCCCCCTGCAGGCACCCCAACCCCATGGGAGTAGCCACACAAGAGCCCACCCAGGACCCACAGGGGCAGGTACCAAGCTCCCCCCCCCCCCCC